CATCTTTCCATGCACGAATGTAAACAGTTCAACCATAATAAGTCTCGTATGATTTTCTCTTTCCTGTTTACCTCTTCATGTTCCACTTGAGTCTTGTATTGGAAAGTCAAATTTTCTATTCAGCTCTGGTCTTTTCATCAAGAATGCCTGAAAGTCCTCTGTTTCACTGAATGACCATTTTTCCCCCTGCAGAATTATACTCAGTTTTGCTGGGTAGGTGATTCTTGGTTGTAATCCTATCTTCTTTGCTCTCTGGAATATTATATTCCATGCCCTGCAGTCCCTTAATGTAGAAGCAGCTAAATCTTGTGTTACCCTGATTGTCTTTCCACAATACTTGAATTGTTTCTTTCTGACTGCTTGTAATATTTTCTCCTTGACCTGGGAACTCTGGAATTTGGCTACAATATTCCTAGGAGTTTTCCTTTGGGGATCTCTTTCAGGAGGAGATCGGTGGATTCTTTCAATTTCTATTTTGCCCTCTGGTTCTAAAATATCAGGGCAGTTTTCCTTGATAATTTCTTGAAAGATGATGTCTAGGCTCTTTTTTTGATCATGGCTTTCAGATAATCCAATAATTTTAAAATTCTCTCTCCTGGATCTATTTTCCAGGTCAGTTGTTTTTCCAGTGAGATATTTCATATTGTTTTGTAATTTTCCATTCTTTTGGATTTGTTTTACAGTGTCTTGATTTCTCATAAAGTCACTAGCTTCCAATTGCTCTATTCTCATTTTTAAGGAAGTATTTTCTTCAGTAATCTTTTGGGCGTCCTTTTCCATTTGGCCAATTTTGCTTTTTAGGGCATTCTTCTCCTCATTGGCTTTTTGGACCTCTTTTGCCATTTGGGTTAGGCTATTTTTTAAGGTGTTATTTTCTTCAGTATTTTTTTGGGTCTTCTTTAGCAAGCTGTTGATTTGTTTTTCATGATTTTCTTGCAAAACTCTCAGTTTTTCCTCTAGTTCTCTTACTTGCTTCTCAAAATCCCTTTTGAGCTCTTCCAGGGCCTGGGACTGATTCATATTCTTCTTGGAGGCCTTGGGTGTGGGAGGTTTGACTTTGTTGTCTTCTTCTGGTTGTATGTTTTGATCTTCTTTGTCACCAAAGTAAGATAATATAGTCTGACTCTTTTTGCGCTGCTTACTCAGGATCCAGGTCAGTTACTTGAGTTTTAAACTCTTTGTTAAGGTAGGAGGAGTCCGTTTCCAGTGTGGAGTATGTACTGTCCCAAGCTTCGGGGGTTTGTACAGCTGTTTTCAGAGATAACTTCTAGGGACCTGAAAATTTTCAGTTCTTCCAAGGTGCTATGATAAGGGGCGAGGTGTTTTCTCTCCACAGCCACAACAAGCTTCACCACACCAGCATTCCTCCTCGCCCCAGCACTGCCTCTCAGAACTGTGACCCAGATCCAAGCACCGGTAAAGCAAGAGATTCCTGCCTCAGCAGTGGCAAAGGGATCCCTGCAATCCCTCTCTGATCAGCCACTCGATTCCCCCTCAGTCTGTGGGCCAGAAGCTCAGGAGGCAGGCGCAGCCCCGGGGGTGGCTGAGACCTAGGTCCTTCTCTCACTGCAGTCACAGACTTTTCCCAGTGACCTTCCAAGTTGTCTTTGGCGTTCGTGGGTTGGGAAGTCTGGAAACTGCCACAGCTGCTCGAGGTTCAGCCCTCTGAGGCTGCTTTAGGTTCGTTGCAGCCTGCGCGCCCACACCAAACTACGCTCCTCTCCCAGCCTAGCGTGATATACCTTTCTGATCAACCATCCAGGTTGTCTTTGGCTGGAAATTTGTTTCACTCTGTCTTGTTGTGGGTTCTGCTGCTTTAGAATTTGTGTAGAGCCATTTTTTATAGGTATTTGGAGGGGTTTGGGGGGAGAGTTCAAACAAGTCACTGCTTTCCCTCTGCCATCTTGGTTCCACCCCATACTCCCTCGACACTTGACTTTTAGGCCCCACTCCACCACCTTGCTCTGAGACCTTGGGTGAGTCCCCCCTCTGGGCTGCTTGCTGCTCCAGGAGCTCTGTGGCCTTCCTCACCCTCCTGTTAGAAGTGATTATGAAATTCCCGAGTTTCCCCCGGAGTGAACAGACTTCCATAACCCCCCCGAGTCTCTCGTCGGATGTTTGCCGCCGTGCACGTCCTGTGCTATGGGGGCTGGCTTGGCCGAAGCTGGGGTACAATTGCCAGCACCCCCAGGAGGCAGGCCGCCGGTGCTCATGGGCTCCCCCGGCTCTCCGACAGGGCGTGTCCTCCACGCGCTGTCTCTAGCCAAACTGTGCCATTTTCCATCATTCCATCTTGTCCTGGCCTTTGGCCACACTGTCCTGCAGTCTGGCATGAGCTCTCTGCCCCTTTGTTGAAGTCCCTCCGTGTCTTCAGAGTGCAGGGTGTGGGAGGAGGGTCAGAGAGTCTCTGTCCTCATGTCCTCACTCCCTGGGGGACCTTGGGCAGGTCATGTTGCTGGATACCGTAGGGCTCACGGAGCGCTTTACAAACATTACCTCATTTCATCCTCATGACAATTCGGGGAGACAGGTGCTTCTATTCATCCCATTTTACAGTTGAAGAAACTGAGGCAGAAGAGGCTAAGTGACTTACCCAGGGTCAAACGGCTTGGAAGTGAGTGAGGCTGGATCTGAACTCCCAGGCACAGTGCTCTGCTCCCTACATCACCTAGCTGCCTGGAATTGCCCCACAAAGAGGGGGATTCCTGCTTTCTAGGCTGGCCTAGACCTCTTCAGGTCCCTCCCAGCTCTGGGAAGGAATTGTTGCATGTCTCCTGGCACACTGGCTTCCGTGGCCCTGTGGTTCCCTGCGTGGGGCATGGGAGAAGGAGGGGTTGCTGCCAGCATGGAAAGGCTTTCACAATTAGAAAGGCTTCGGCCTGGCTCCAGAAGACCAGCAGAGGAGAGCAGGGAAGGCCTTTGAGGTGGTGGGATGGCCGTGGAGCTTTGGAGGTAGGCGTGATGCAGGCAGGGCTCACAGAACAAGGAAGTGGTCAGCCAGGGAGAGCGTTTGACCCCTGCGTGGGCCACTTGGCCTCACGCTAGGGCGCAGGTTTGGTCAGTGAAAGGTGGGGAACCCCTCTCCGTTTGGAATTTAAATCACCCAGGACAGCGTGGATGTTAACATAGTGCGTGTGTGTGTGTGTGTGTGTGTGTGTGTTTGAGTGTAAGAGAGAGATGGGGGGATGGAAATGGTTTCTGCCCCCCACCTCCTTGGGCAGAGTGGCCACTGACTTGGGTTTGAGCTCCTGGCCTGAGAGGGGAGCAGCGCCAGGACGGGGCTGTCTGACACATGTGAGCCAAGGATCAGGGGCCCACGTGGTCATGTGGACCAGCGCCACAAGGATGCAGAGACCCCCCCTCCCCCCGGGCACCCTTGTTCCAGTCTTATTCCTTTTTTCTGGCAATGTGTCTGTTTAGAAGCTGTTTTCTTTAGCCAGGACCCTTTGGAGACAGGCCTTTTTACAAGGAGCAGCCCTTTCTTGGGTCATCCATACCCCATGTGGCTGACTGGCCCTGAGTCAGGGCCCTGCCCTGTGTGACCACTTCCTTCCCACCTCCACAGCCAAGGCAGTTACAGACCTTCAGAGGCCCAGCCCCCCAAAACACCCCCATTGCAGCTTCTGGAGAGCTTGGTCGAGCAGCCAGAGACTCCCGGGTATTGTGAACCCCATTCCTGGGCTCTTGGCACCAGGTCTTAGTACCCATTGCACTCCTCCCCCCAGCATGCCCTCGGTCGAGTTTGGCATGCAGTGCCAAGTCCAGATTGGGAGTCAGACCCCTGGGGGCAGTGCCCGGCTCTGCCATTTCCTCGTCTGTGTGACTGGCCCTGTCTGGGCTTTGGTGTCTCCATCTGGAAAATGAGAGCATTGAGTAGCCTCCGAGGCCCGGCCTTGGCTCCAGGCCTTGTGACCCTTGGGAAGGATTGTGGGTCACACATCGAGGGATTTTTGTTTGGACTTGGTAGAGAGACCCTCGCTGCAGTTATGGGTGAGAAGGATTCCGTGGGCATCTTGGGCCTTTGTCCTTGCTTGCACTGGTCACCTTGTGGAGGATTGGGCACCATAGTCTGGGGAGGACAAAGGAAAGCTGGGGAGCCTCCCAAGCAGGAGTGGGCCTCGCATTGTGCCGTGGGAGGGCCTCAGGATGGAAGTGAAAACCCAGCGGGCCCTCAGTGTTGACAGGCTGGCACTCGGTGGGGAGGACAGCCTTGAGGGCCGATCTGCGATCTGGGAGGAGGTGGTGAGCTTCCTGTGAATGGAGGTGTTCAAGCAGATGCTGGAGGACCACTGGGTGTTATAATGGGCATTCTTGGGGAGGCATGGGTCAGACTAGTGATTTGGTCTCCAAGGTTCCTTCTGACTCCTGAGATATTCTGTAATTCTATCACATTTTTCTTGAACTGACTGTGCGCTGTCATGGGAGAAGGGCATCAGCAAGGCTTTGAGTTCCCCAGATGACTGACCAGACCCTGAGGGGTCAGTGACTCTTTTCTGAACCTCCCCCCTCCACTGGTGGTGCACCTGTCCTTCCCCCTCCTCCCAGGGGTGTGAGGACACCACTGGGCACCTGCCAGATGCCAAGTGGAGAAGGAAGGGCCCTGCTCTGGAAGAGCTCCCAGTCTGGTGGTCTGCTTTGGGGTGGGGAATGGGATGAGCTCTGGGGAGGGTCCCCTAGAAACAGAGTGGAGGACAGGGTGAGATCCTGGGATGAAACCCAGAGGAAGATGCCCCGTCCTGGAAGGAGCCCTGGCTCTGGTGCTGGTACAGGGGCTGGCCTTGGGCCAGCGGGGCCCCTGGAACTTTCTGTACCTTTGTTTCCCCCTCTGTCAGGCGTGCAGGGCCCCTGCAGACTGTGTTGCCAGGCAGCTGGCACAGAGGCCTCGCTAGAGCAGGGAGGGGTGGGTGGGGCCCCAGCCCGGATGCCAGGGCACCTGAAACCTGCCTTCTCCCTCCTCTCTGGGGCGGAGCAAAACTCCAGGCTTTGTGCTGGAGGCAGCCATGGCAGCCTGGGCCCCGGTCAGCAGCCCAGCTGGGGCCCTGCGAGTCCGTCTGCCGGATTTCCTGTGAGTGGAGGGAGAGAGCACCCAGCTCTGCCCATGGGTCATTGTGCCTCATCCACTCCTCGTAGGTATAGTGCGGAGGGCGGCGCCCTGTGTGGGAGAAAGCCCTTCCATGGTAGAGACCCCTCCCTCCAGCGGCAGCCAGTGCCCCCACCACACTCAGGACGTCCTTAAAGCCCGGGCTCCTCCTCCGTCAGCGGTTTAACTGGCCACGGTTCTGGTTCTGGCAATGAACAGATTCCAGTGATTTAAATGGCCTGCCTGCCCGCAGGCTGGCCCAGGGCAGAGCCTCTGCCTCTTCCCGCCTCCAGGACCACAGAGAGCCCAGGCACGACTTCCCCGGGCTCTGGCAAGGTGAGGTCACTGTGGCCCTCCGATTTCCGTAAGACAGCTGCTTTTGCTCCACCTCATCGGATCTGGGGCTGCTGTTGTCAGAATGCTGGCCGGACGTGGTCAGGTGTTTGAGGAGACACACCCACAGGCCTGGACAAGGAGCACGGTGCCCAGGCTGCCTCCCAGCCACCCGCGGCCTGGGCACCGGGGCGGCCGTCCCGTCCAGGGGACAGCTGTGTCTGCTGAGTGTTATGCTGGGCCTTGCTGAGTGGAGTAGCTGGAGTACTGGACCATCTGTCTTGTGTCATTTTTAATTAGGAGAAAATTAATGGATTCCTGGCTGCTTGGTCTTAGGGATTACTTAGACTTAACTGTTACTAATTAAACCACCAGGAGGGGTTTGTTTAGGTGATGGTGGTGGGGAGGGTCATTTCTGAATGGTCTGTTAGAAGTGGGCACGTGTGTCTCAGGGCAGAGCGCTGGCCAGACAGGTGCCTCTGGGGCCTGGGGGGCGCTGCCGGCTCTGCCCGGGTGGCCTGCATCCTGACGCTGCCATCCAGAGGCTTTGATCTCTGCCCCACCCTGGTGCCTTCAGTTATTTGTTTAAAAATGTTTTCATTTTTTTAATATGACCATAATTTCCCTAACATTCCTCCTCCTCTCAGAACAAATGGTATTTTTTAAAGCCAAGAAAAAAAGAAGAGGAAGAAGTCGGCCAGTGTGCCGAGTTCTTGGATTTTTATTCAGCAGTCCATGGTTTGTGGCCATTCTCGCGGGGTGTTGGCCCTCGGGGCGTCCTCCCCAGCCCTGCCTCTGGGAGCTGAGCAGGGGCCCAGCCCAGGAGAACCTTTCACAGGCGGCCCCTGCTGTGCTGCTGAAAGTTGGAAAACAGCTTCGTTTCCTGCTTTGAGAGCTCAGAATGGGTTCTTTTCAAAAGGTGCCAGGAGCTGAATGGGCCTGGCTGGCGGCTGGAGAAGGGGCCCTTGGGAGGGGCTTGCTGACTCCTGGTGCCCGGGGCGGGGGGTGGCTCCCTGGCTTCACCTTCCTTCTTGGGGGTCCTTCACCTGTCTGTCCAAGGCTCCTTCCGGCTCAGCCTGGGGTCCTAATGATGGGGCTAATGCCGCTTGATTTCTCTCTAATGAAGAAACTTGAACCAGGGATCTTGGAGCCCCTTAAAATGCATGTGAGCTTTTGTGTGTGTGTGTGTGTGTGTGGTTTGTTTTTCTTCTTCCCCTTTTCCTTGTGAGCAGCTCACAGTGAATTAGCCCAGGGCACTGTTTCTCTTGGCTCATGGGGCTCCCAGGCTGCGGGTTCCTGTGCCAGAGGACAGCCACCCTGAGGGCATAGGGGACGGAGCTTTGCCACATTGTCAGATTCGGGTCTGTCAACCTTGCAAAGGCCTTTTGGGATCATCTGAGCCAACCCCCTCATTTTAGGCAGGGAGGACTGACCCGCCTGGAGAAGGGGAAGGCGCTGCCACTCCGGTTCCAGCCTCTGAATGCCCAGTCCTGGGCACCAGGCTGCCCGAGAACAGACATCCTGATTCCAGAGCAGGTCTGGCCACTTGTAAAAATCAGCTTTTTCCTATTTCAGCCAAAGCAGGATGTTTCTTAAAGCCTTTGACGCTGGCTTGAGGGTTCTGCCTTAGGAAACCTGGCATTTTTGGTGGGAAAGGCCCCATGGCGGCTTCTCTGCCACATCGTAGTGTTTCTCTTGTCATTGGACACTGGGGGCTTGGCCTCTGGCCCCTTGCAGAGCTCCCATGTTGGAGCAGTCCCTCCTCTGCAGAGTGCTGTGAGGCCTGCCAAAGGCTCCCCATCACCCTGTGCGATTGGGTTCTGTTGATTTCCATTTTATATGTAAAGAAAGCAAGTCCCACAGGGGTGAAGGGACTGGCCCAGTGTGTTAGGGCCCTTCTAAGGCGTGTGTACGAAAACCAAAGGCTGTTTGTCCTCTTGCTGACTCCTGGGAGTCATGGGAGAATTCCCATTGTGGATCCAGAGTGTTTGGTTGTCCATGGTCCACCTGCCCCACCCCTCAGGTGCTGCCCTATGACCTTGACGTAGCCTGGTGTGCTGGGGCTGGGCGTGGGGCGTCTTTATTGGCCTGAGTAACCAGGAAGAAAATCCTTGAGATTGTTGGCAGACTGTCCTGGCCCTGCCCACGGCATCTGCTGCCCTCTTGCCTCTCCTGCCCGGGGAGAGCCCGGAGCCCTGGAAACTCTTCTCGGCTCCCTAGGAAGCTTTCTCTGGAGGAATAGAGAGCTTTGCTTATTGCAGCAGGTATGGGGTAAGCCCCTGGGCCAGCATGGGTGCTGAGCTAGGCCCCGTCCTGACGTCCTTCCCGTCCTGAGACAGAGGTTGGCACGGTTAGAAACACTTCTCTTTAAAATTCTCTGGCTGGTTTTAGTTTAGTGGTAAATGGTTCGGGCATGGGGGGAGACAGGTAAATCAAGATGCAGTGTTCCTCCCCCAGCCCAGGTCTGCAGCTTGGTTGGGCTCTTCCTGCCAAGCACCTCTTCACTGTTGGGCACCCCCCGTGACTTCAGGGGGCACGTGCTTGCATCCCTGAAGGGCAGAATCAGGAGCGGTTTGATGGGAACAAGCCACCTGGCTTTGGGTAGGACAGCTTCCTGTGAAGCTGGCAGGGAAGCTTCCCTTTTGACTTAGACCTTGAGCCACCTTTAGGGAGGAGGCATTTAGCACGGGTGCCTGAGCCCAGAGGGCTATAAAGAGCTGATGGGACTGCGTGTGCCATGGACCTTGGTCTGCCAGGCAACCTTCACTGATTGAGCCCTGGGAAGCTTCTCTCGCAATCAGTAAACACCTACTAAGTACCTACTATGTGCCAGGCACTGTGCTAAGTGCTGGAGATACAAAGAGAGGCAAAAGGCAGTGCCTGCCTTCAAGGAGCTCCCAGTCTAATGAGGGAGACAGTGTACAAACCACCATGTTTGAGCTGCCTATGGGAATAAGAGGAACAGAGGGAAGGCACTAGAATTATGGGGGCTCGAGGGGCAGCTAGGTGGCGCAGTGGATAGAGCACCGGCCCTGAAGTCAGGAGGACCTGAGTTCAAATCCAGCCTCAGACCAAACATTTGACACTTACTAGCTGTGTGACCCTGGGCAAGTCACTTAACCCCAAATGCCTCACAGAAAAAAAAAAAAAAGAATTACGGGGGCTTGGGAAGGGATCTTAACTGGGACCTGAAGGAAGCCAGGGAAGCCAGGAGGTGGATATGACAAGGGAGAGCACGCCAGGCATGGGGCACAGCCTGGGGAAACACCTGGAGGTGGGAGATAGAGGCCAGTGTCAGTGGATCATAGTGTATGTTGTATTGGGTAGGGAGGATGTAAGGTGTAAGAAAACTGGAAGGGTGGGAGGGGGCCAGGCTGTGAAGGAAATTGAATGCCAAGCAGAAAGCTTTGTATTTGCCCCTGAGGCGATAGGGAGCCGCTGGGGTTTATCGAGTAGGGGGGTGGCATCATCATGCCTGTGCCGGTGGAACCATGGGTTGGAGTGGGGAGAGACTTGAGGCAGGCATGGGGTGGTGAAGACACGCACCAGGGTGGCGGCAGTGGCAAGGACACATAGCTGTCTTCTCTTGTCTCATCTCCCTCTGATTGGTTGGGGATGGCGGCAGCGCCAAGCCGCCCCCCCCTTCCTGTGAGCGGCCTTCAGAGGCAGTGGAGGGCCCTGCCCCGAGGGAGGGCCATTGGCGGACGCTGGACATCCTTGCCTGGATTCTTGGGAAAGTGTCGTTATCTTCCGTCTGTGGGGGATGGAACAAGCGCTCGGATTCGGTGGCTCGTTCGGTCAGTAAGGCTGATTCGAGGTCTCGTGTCTGGTCCACCATGACAGAACCTCCCACTCCCCAGCCATCCCACTGACTCTGCAGGTGCAATGGAACTTCTTTTCTTCGTGGCTGGTGGTGTCCCCCGGCTCAGAGAGACGTTCACAGGGGACCCTTGAGAGGCCACTTGACCATCGTTTGGCCTTTCTTTGTATCGCCAGCTGCTTAGCACGGTAGTTGGCCCAATTCTTCATTGTTGTTGTTGAGTGATTTCAGTTGTGTCCAACTCTCTGTGACCCAGTTTGGGGTTTTCTGGGCAGAGATACTGGGGTGGTTTGTCATTTCCTTCTCCAGCTCATTTGACAGATGAGGAAACTGAGGCAAACAGGGTGAAGTGACTTGCCCAGGGTCATCCAGCTAGGAAGTATCTGAGGCTGGATTTGAACTCAGGTCTTCCTGACTCCAGGCCCAGCTCTCTATCCACTATGCCACCTAACTGCCCTTGTGCTTGGCACAAAGTGAGTGACTAGTCAGTGCTTGTTGATTGACTGATTGCCGTCCCCACTTTGGGCATTTAGGGAGAGACCCTTTCATAGGCACGGAGAGGTCACAGGTTCATTAAGCACTGGAATCCTTCTTTCCCCCCACACAATCACATTTTATTTTTTCCAGTTACATGTAAAGATAGTTTTCAACATTTATTTTTATAAGATTTCGAGTTCCAGTTTTTTTTCTCTCTCCTTCCCTCCCCTCCGCGAGACAGCATGCAATCTGATATAGGCTGTGCATGTACAATCATATTAAGCGCATTTCCACATTAGTTATGTTGTGAAAGAAGAATCAGAGCAAAAGGGGAAAACCACAAGAAAGAAAAAACAGAACACAACATAAGAAAAGGAGAGCAAATAGTCTGCTTCGGTCTGCATTCTGACTCCATAGTTCTTTCTCTGGATATGGGTAGCATTTTCCATTGTGAGACCTTTGGAGATGTCTTAGATCTTTGCATTGCTGAGAAGGGCTAAGTCTATCAAAGTCAGTCATCACACAGTGTGGCTGTTACTGTATACAGTGTTCTCCTGGTTCTGCTCATTTCACTCTGCATCAGTTCATCTAAGTCTTTTCAGGTTTTTCTGAAGTCAGCCTGCACAATAATATTCCATTACATTCATATACCACAACTTGCTCAGCCATTACCCAATTGATGGGCATCCTCTCAATTTCCAATTCT